CAAAAGATGGTAGAGTTTGAATTTGAACCCAGTTTGTCTTGCATTTCTTATTTTTTCTTTTTTAAAAAATAATTATTTTAGAGAGAGAGAGAATGCCCTGGCAATGTCTTGCCATTCCGGGACCTTCCTTTGGTCTTCCTGGCTTCCCAGTCAGCCGACCACGGGTGTGCCCATTGTGTTCACGTATACCAGGCATCGAAACTCAGGCCTCTCAGGTGGTTCTAGTGTCATGCAGTGGTACCCTACTACTTGTGCCACTACAGCTGGGCTGTTACTACATTTCTCATGACATTTCTTTTTCCTCATGGTATGTTTGTTTGAAAGTACTGCCTTTGGCTGCCTTAGCTCTTTCGATAGTTGATATTGGGGAATCTCATCTAATCTCATAGATTATGATGTGAAATTAATAGTTGCCACAACTTTGTTTCTCAGTTTGTTTTTTCTCTTTGTTCCTAGATTCTGCAGTCCCAACTACTCATGGGACATAACCCATTTGTACATGCACACATACCTCAACCTTTTCAAATTTAATGTGTCAGAGGCAGAGCTTGCTCTAGACTTGATCAGTGGAATGAATATAACAAACCCATTGAAATAGTTTAGGGATGTAAAAAGTTGTTTTGAAGAGAAAATGAACAATATGAAAGGTGTATCAAAAATTCAAAAAGAACATAAAATGTCTGAGGACATTTTTGCTAAAAGTTAAATGTAGTATTTAAATAAGTAGTATGTATTGACCAGTCATTTAAGTTCCCCTTTCTCCTAAGCATTATTGTTAAAATTTTTTTTAAGCTATTAATACAACTGAGACTAAAGTCTTCAGATGTAAGTTGTTAAGGCACTTGGAGAAACTAAAAGCAACAGAATGAAACAAAGTTCAGGGTATCCTGTGTTAGGAGCCAAGTGCAGAAAGTAAGATGGAATTAAGTGATTAGATGAAAAAAGACAAAACAATTAGTTATTTGTATATCCAAAATGTGTGGGTGGTTGGCAAAAAGGATAAGCAAATTACCAATAAAACTGGCTTTTTAGTTTTCTTTTGGGTGCTTATCTTATAAGTTAATTTGAGAAGTAATTCTTTTTTATTAATTTATTATTACTATTATTTTAATTTTCCTGTAGGGCTTGTGAAATCACCAGAGAGAGGGGAGAATGAGAGCAAGAGTGAAAAAGCAAGCCTCCAGGGCCATGACTGTAACTGTAACTTGGCCATGTTGGAGTCCAGTGCTCAAACCACCACACCACCTGCTAGCCCCCTTGAGAAGTAATTCTAATTATTTTATAATACAGAGAATATGTTGGTTAGAAAACTAAAGCTATAAAATTTCATAGAAGAGTCAATAATAGTTGAAGAAGTGTAATACTGTATTTCCAAATGTAAAATATGCTTTTTACCTGGCTATTATTAATAATTAGATGAGGAAAGAAAGTACCATATTCAGGAATGAGAAGTGATTTCATAGAGAAGTTTCTTTTAATTGCTTTTAGTTGCTTTCATTGTCAGAAATAGAATTCTCTTTTAAATAAAAAGAAGCTATAATTTCCTATGACAGTTGAGGAGAAGAACGATCATTTCTTTTCTGTTTGGGAATTTAATACTTTTGCATAAAGTATACTTCATCAGCGACAAGTTCAGGAGTATAAAAATCATTCTTTGAGCCTTTGGGTCTGTTTAATTTTTATTTTTTCCATTGTTAACTTACTAAACTTTATTATTACTATTACTTTTTGGATTTTTTTCTGTAGGGCATATGTGCTAGCTGGAAAGATAGAGAGATAAAGATAGAGATAGATAGATAGAGAGAAGTCACACTCCAGGGGGACTGACCACACAGCAATATGTTTTTTTCTATTTTCCCCTCAGGATTTTGGGCACACACACACATGCTTGGTGTGTTTTTCAGGTCACTGGCTTGGGTCTTGAACCATGAAGCTGGCCATGTGGGATCCAGCACCTTAACCACCACAACACCTGATATCCCCAACTTACTAAACTCGATGTTTGTGACATAGCTTTGGAGAAGCATAGAAAAGTTTGATCCTCACTCAAGATAAATATATTGTAGTTAATTATTTTAGTTAATTAAACTAAAAATTTTGAGAGTAATTAGAGAAATTGGTGTTAATGGCTTCCTAACTAAGAGGCAAAATTACAAAATCAGGAACTGATAGATTTTATGAAAAGTTTGTTACTTATAACACTGCATGATCATAAAAAAATCTTTTAATGCTGTGATAACAGAAACTGTATCTTTAAAACTAAGCCTAAGATCAACCTGTGACCTGGTGGTTAAGGCTGCTGGATCCTACATGGTCTACCATATGTTTTGAATTCTGGACCCAGTGGCTTGAGAAATACACCAGGCCTGTATACATGCATACCCAAAATCCTGATGGAGAGAAATGGAGAAGGGATTGTGATGTGACCATTCTCTATGGTGGGTGCTTTCTCACTTTCCCTTTCTGACTCTTTCTCTGTCTCTCTCCAGTGAGTGCATGTGCTCTCTGGCAAAAATTAAAAAAAAAAAATAGCCCATTGTCTCTAATATATAAAGGATAACCAGCAAATATTAAGTAGGGAAGTTATGGGACCAGCAGTTGGCGTAATGACTATGTCGCTGGACTCCCATGTAGTCGACTGCAGGACAAGTCCTGGACCTGGTGGCTTAAACTCACACGGGGCGTGTGTGTGTGTGTGCCCAAGATCCCGAGAGGAGAATGGAAGAGAAGGGATTGTGGAGTGGCCATCCCCCCTGGGGGTGATTTCTCACTTTCTCTCTGTCTCTTTCTTTTTGTCGAGTGTACACGCCCTACAACAAAAACCTCTCAAAAAAATAGGGAAGTTACAAAATATAAGTTAAATAGTTTATACATGTCCTGGGGGGAGGGGGTCATCAAAAAGTTAATGGAAAATGCCTTTAAAAAAAAAAAAAGGTTTATGCCATAGAGTGCATGTGCTCACCTGACAGAGACAGAGACAGAGAAAGGGAAAGTGAGCGATTATTCACCAGCAAGGTTATGGCCATGCCACAATCTCTTTTCTTCCATTCTCCTCCTGGAATTTGGGGCACATATGTACATGCACCTGGCATGACTTTAAAGTTGTCAGGTCTAGGACTCGAACCATAGTCAGTCATGTGGGAATCCAGCAGCTTAGTCACCTGCTGGCTCATTTGACAAACTTTTTTTTTTTTAAGAGAGATTTTTGCTATAGGGCACATGTGATTGCTGGAGAGTCAGATAGAGAGAGACAGAAAGCAAGATTGTAATGGCCGCATCACAATCTCCTTCTCCATTCTCTTCTTGGGATTTTGAGCATACACATACATGTGCCTGGTGTGAGTTTAAGCCTCTGGATCTGGGACTCAATCCATGGTTGACTGTGTGGGAGTTCAGCAATGTAACCATCATGTCATTGGCTGGTTCCTGAAAAACTTCTAAAAAGACCCTCATATGTAATTTTGAAGAGAGATTGTTATATAGTTTGGTTCTATTTTCTTCAGAATTTATTTTTGATATTCTAAATGGGACTTGGGATCTTTATGTAGGTTTTTGTTTGTTTATTTGTTTTGTCCCAGAAAAATTTAGGGTTGTGGAAAGTTTTTATGGTAGCTGAACCCATTTCTGTTACTTCCTAGCCTTTGAATGCTTTTCTTCAGAGTATGCTTCTGGTAGAGTGACAGAGGAAAAAATAATGGTAGATTGACACAGAGGAGAAGCAATAAGTCAAATTTGCATGGGCAAACTAAATAGGATATTTCTAAACACATTTACTAAGGAAAGTTGATGTCCATCCCAGTTCCTAGCTAAAGTATGAAAATATGTCGTTGGGTGTAATCCTATGAGCTTTCAGAATCTAATGACACCCTCTGCTGGTCAAATGAGGAACTGTGTTTAAAAAAAAGTGTGGTTTAAAAAAAAAAGGGTAGATTACTATATTAATTATAACAGGAATGAGCAATGCAGACTATTGTAAAATAACATATAACAATTAGAAATGTGAGGAATTAAGCCAATGTAGCTTTAAAATATTTCCCTAAGTCAAAATAATATGGAAATGCCCATATTTTGAGTTTCCTAATATTCAGGTCTTTTTTTTTGACCATGGATGTAGGGCATAGGGAAGACATACAGAAAGGGGAAAAATGCATGGATCTAAAGGCTCTATTCCTAATAACAATTCCAATTAATCAAAGATGTTTGAATTACTTAATTTTTTTTCCCCAGAGGACGAGAGAGAAAGAATGTAAAAAAGGATCCCCATGGAGAATGATCATAGCACAATCCCTTTTTCTCCTTTCAGGATTTTGGGCACATAGACATGTGCCAATGTGTTTCACAAGTTGCAGGGTCCACGATCTGTGTGGCTGGCCATCAGTGATCCAGCCACCTTAACCACCACACCAGGGGCTGGCCTTAAAACTCCTTTCATTACTAGTTTATAAATGACTGTTTTAAGAAGTATTGACAAATATCTGAAGGTGAGATTAGAAACTGCTTTTCTCTGGGTATCCTGATTTAATTTCTGTTAAAAATATTTAGAATATTTTAAAGTAATTTAGATGCTTGATAGGTTCTTGGAATTATCATATAACATGCTTGTTTTATATTTTGCTCTTTCTATTTTCACAAATTCTCAAAGCCACTTTAGAATTTACAGTGTTTTTGGTGCATAGTGCTCATGAAAGTTTTTTTTGTTAAAAAGAATCCTATAGCAAAAGCCTCTCCAAAGGAAAAAAAAAGTTGATCTTGGACAAAATACCTTTATTTTGTTGCAGATTTGAAAAACAGAACTTTAGGTTTGATTCTGTCACTCTTAACTGGCATGTTGCTTTAAGAGCACCCATCCCCCTTTCTTCCTTGAGCCACTGTGCCCTGTCAGTCATCCTGAAATACACTAGGGTGCTTGTCAGGCTGTTTGCTTACAAATGCATCATAAGCCAAATTGTGAGCCATAATAGTGGCACTGAATTTCTAAACACAAGAAATTGCTTAGACAGTTGGTTTAGTATCTGTATATGGGCAATACTCTGTCCTGCAGTAGGTGAGTGAAGTGTCCAACTTTTTAACATCAAACTTTGCTCTATGGCGATTCCTAATACTTACAGATGGTCTCTTGTTTGGTTAGATAACTTCGGGGGAAATGAGAGGACATTATTTTTATAAAATGGTATAAATAGAATGCTATTTTGTGCATTTTTAAACTTTTATAACTAATTTTTCCTTTAAGTAACACTAAACTGTAGATTACTTTATGAAAGCACCAATTTGAAATGTCTACTTTTCTGAGTTAAATTAGTAGGCATTTTTGTTTCAGATAAAAATGTGATTCTGTTACACATTTTTTTCTTTCACAACAACTTAGGGAGACTCAGTAGAGCAGAGGTGCAATTCTGCTATTTGGAGTGTTTATTAGTGGTTTTAAAAATAGCACTAAAACATTATGTCAGTGCCCAAGCCCTAGCAGTCTCACATTAGAGCATTTAAAAATTGGAGTAACTGTATAGAAGGCAGCGAGCTGGCTCTTTATCTGTGCAAAACAATTTGATATCTATATGGGCCTGTACATTTAAGTTGTACGTGGATGTTTTCCTTGTAATTTTGTATGCAGCATTAAATATTTTGAAGAGAGAACTGATAAATAAGAGGTCACTAACTCATGGATCTTGATACTTGTAGTCAATACAGTATCGTTAAGGAACAGCAAGAAGTTAAAGTTTTAAGGACTTATCTAGGGTAGATGAGGAGAGATTGCTTTTGCAGAGACATGGAATGATTATTTATTCCTTGTCTTGTTTTAGAAAGGATTTAAGGTGACTTACAAAGCTACATGAAATTCAAGATAGGATCAATTAAATGTGAAGTGAAAGAATAAAGAAAAAACAGGTGTGAGGATATAAAACAGAGCCAGAAATTAGGCAAAAGAAATGCAGTTCAACTATGATTTTATAACATCAGGCTATTATGGATTGATGGAAGAGAAAATATGGAATTATAGAAATCTTGTGGGGAATTTTATGTAAAACAGTTGCCTTCCATGCCTCCGGTGACAGTCTGGAGTAATGAGAGTATGTTAAATTGTGAATATTTAGTATACTTTAAATGTCACTTGTGTTTTGGTGGGAAGAAGTGGAGAATTGCTGCCCTTTTAACCTACACTGATTTATGTGGGCATAAATGTGGCTCTCAATTTTCTAGGAGCAGAAAAAAATTTGGTCTGTTAATAATTAGGAAAGAAGATGAAAAGAGCCTTAGTTTTTTTGAAACAAAGGAGTTATTAGGAGTTATCTAAATAAGGTCAAATACCTACATATTAGAACAGATAATGATCAAGCCAATTTATAAAAGAATATTTAGCTATATAAATCTATGAATATTAGTCCAAATATTTTTTCTATAGATTATTGTAAATGAGGACTTTCTGCTCTTTCAATCCAGCAATGAATTTAACTTGAATTTCAATATCTGCTAGGTTAAAATTAACTGTATTAATCTAACTGGGAAATAATTGTTAGGTAGGAAAAAAGAACTCAGAGATAAAAATTGGATTTTCAACATTCACAAAATACTTCCTATGTTGAAGACTCAGGACTCTATCCTGTGAACCCAAACCAGGCTTGCTTAAGTGAATGAGAACAGAATTTCACTGCTTCACACAGTAGCATGGAAAAAGGACAAGAACCAGAAAAAGCCCCAGCCATTAAAATTTTGATAAGGAGCCTCAGTGATATCTTCAGATATTAGCATGATGAGTAAGGAACTATCATTTGGCTCTTTTTATTTTTTAAAATTCCGTTGTTAAAAATAAGATCAATAAGAAATTATTTATTTATTTATTTATTTATTTATTTATTTTAATTTGAACAGAAAGGACAGAGTGACAGAGAGTGGGAAGGTAAGAAAGCAAGCCACCAGGTTTGGGAGTTGAACCATGGTCAGCCATGTGAGAGTCCAGCACCCCGAACTAAGCCACCTGCCGGCCCCAGAAATGATTTTTTTTAAAGCAGTAAAAATACAAACAAAATATTCAAAGCTTTTGTTTTTTGTAGTTTTGAGTTTTGAACCCATATGTGAGTTGATTTAGAGTTCTTGCCAGAAAAAATTTAAATAAAATAGATAACACTTAACTGATCAGATACATGGAATAACATTAAGAATAACCTGGACACACAGGTTTGAAACCTGAGAAGCAAATATTATTAAGAAGTTAAATAAGCCTTGGCATCAAGCAAATTGAGTGATATACTAGAGAGGTCAAGACGCTTAAGAAAAGCTTATTAACTTTTGAAAGCATTAGCTCAGGGAACCTAGTGAGAGATCACTCAAAGAGCTTATTGAGTCAGTGACTATCAGTAGAAATGTGTGATTACACAGTAAGTGAAATTACTTAGAAACCTTTTCTGTGTCACTGGGGTAAGAGATGAGAAAAAGAGTTTTTTAAAAGTAAAATTTATTTATTTATTTATTTATTTATCTATCTATCTATCTATCTATCTATAGAGGTTTTTGCTATAGGGCGCGTGCGCTCACCAGACAGACAGAGAGAGACAGAGAGACAGAAAGCAAGAAATCAACCCCCAGGGGGGATGGCTACGCCGCAATCCCTTTTCCTCCATTCTCCTCTTGGGATCTTGGGCACGCATGCACGCACATGCACCTGTAGTGAGTTTTAAGCCACCGGGCTGGGATGCGAACCGCGGTCGACTACGTGGGAGTCCAGCGACATAGCCATTACACATTACGCTAACTGCTGGTCCCGAAAGTCAAATTTATTGAGAAATAATTTATATATTAATTCTGTCATGTTAAAATGTATGGTATGACGATTTCTGACAATTGTATACAATAAGTCATTCCCACAATCAAAATAAAATAATTTCATCACCCTAAAAAGTTTTCTTGTGCTGCTATGTAGTCAGTTTTCTTCATCAATCTTTAGCCTCTGTCACCTATTTCTTTTTAATTGCCAGAGCATGTGTGTGCTCACCATTGAAGTGCAGGAGAGAGAGAGAGAGAGAGAGAGAGAGAGAGAGAGAGCGTGCAAGAAAGCACCCCCTAAATGGGCGTGGTCATGCTGCAATTCTTTGTCCTCCATTTCTCCATCTTGTTTGGATTTTGGGTATGCACACATGTGTGTTTGAATTGATTTTTACACTGCTGGGGTTGCAATCTGACCTGCGTCGGTCCTGTGGGGTCTGGTTCCCTTAACCACTAGGTCATTGGGCCTGGCCTTAGTGTAGTATGTTGGGTAGCTTTTTACATGCTTAAGGACTATTTGCATATTTTTCATAAATGTGAAATTATTTTAAATTGCATGAATAATATCTGTTAATTTTTACTAAGAAAGATGAGTAAAGATGAGTGATTGTGTTTTCCCATCTTCTTTGCTATGCAATTTTGTTACTCTGCCTGTGATATCCCCAAATATGTTTTCAGTCCTTGTATATTAGATACTTCTAATTTATGAATGTTTTATTTTTTGCTTCCGTTTGTTTCTTTTTCTTTTCTTTTAGAAATGTTTATTTTTTCCATGAGAGAGGGAGAGAGAGCCACAGAGAGAGAGAGAGAGACAGAGAGAGTGATAGGCACTCCTACGGGGTGCCCACACAGCTATCCATTTGCTTTCTGGCCTTAGCCCAGATCATGGGCATGCTCCTATGTTCCTGGCATGTACAGGGAGGCCTCAGGGTGGAACCTGGGCTCTTCTCATGTAGGCCTAGCACTGTGCAGTGTTGTATTTCTGCTGAGACACCTAGTTTCATTTATTTCTTGAATAATTATATCTTGCTGTTCATTCCCCTATATTGTCTTATTATTTATTTATTTATTTATTTTTTGAATCTTCTAACTCTTCTGAGTTTTTTTTTTAAGGTTTAATAATTGTTTTATTGTCTACTGTAGAAACTGAGGGATGCATACATTTACAAAAATGATGCAACAAATGGTGATTCTGCTATCTTGAGTTCATGTGACATAAGGATCAGAAGCTTCCTTTCCTAGCAGCCAAGGTTAAAAATGTCAACTCTGAGAAAAAATATTGTGTTGATGTTATGATACTGTGTTTTACTTATTTATTTTTCTTTAAATTTATTTTTACATTAATTCACTATACATCATTACAACATACAAAATGAATTCTCCATACAAAATACACTGCATATTGGCTCAATCAAACACATCAACATATGTGTTATCAACAAATAATTTTCCAGTTCTTATGTCTTATATATTTTCCTTTTTTTTTTTTTTGCCATTCTTCTGAGTTCTTTATAAAGAGGACAAATTGTGTATATGTTGAGTCATCTGGAAAGTCATAACTCGTTTTTGCGTAGAAAGGCATAGAAAAATATGTCATGACTTTCTCAACAACCTAATATGTGTGTGAATCTATTTATGTATAGATATCCGTAAATAACTATTTTATTGGACTCTTTCTCTGTTTTGTCCTTAGTCCTTGTTCATCATAATTTTTGGTTAGGTTTTTCACTTTTTTTTTTTTCTCAGTTTTTATGTTGAGTTCTCATTACTGATCTTTGTAAGCTACCAGCCATTTACTAAAGAACAGTAGAGGAGGGTTCAGAGCTCAGGTGGGAGTAATTGGGGTACTTGGCAATTTTTTTTTTTTTGAGAGGTTTTTGCTATAGGGCGTGTGTGCTTGCCAGAGAGACAGAGAAATAGAAAGTGAGAAATCACCCCCTAGGGGGGATGGCCATGCCACAATCCCTTTTCCTCCATTCTCCTCTTGGGATCCTGGGCATACATGTACACGTGCCTGGCATGGGTCTGGGACTCAAACCACAGTCGACTACATGGGAGTTCAGAGACATAGCCGTTATGCTAACTGCTGGTCCCAGTTGGCAATTTTAATCTATTGATATTTGTGGTATTGAATAGTTTCTTACAAAAGTTATTTCTTTTACTTTAAGGAAAATAAATTTTTAAAAATTGTTTGGTGTTCCAAAACTCAATATGCTTCACTGTGAAGTACCTGAAGTCACAGATTATCAGCATTGCTAATGAATGATCCAACATCCTTTATTTCTT